TGTGAAATATTTGTGTACCATGCCTGTGTAACTAACTACTAACATTCAATATCACAACCTTGTATCACAAGCCAGAATTTTGCTTCCAAGATTTCCACATGAAATATACCTTAGCAACAGCAGAGTAAGCCAAGGTCTTGTGCTACAGAATTTCACATTGCTACGCTAATACCATAGGCAGCTAATTCTGCATTCTTTTAAGTCTTTCTTGGGCATCTTCCTTGTCTGTTCATAAACAATATTAGTAGATCCAGCGAGGTGGGTAATCCTACACAGACTGATCCTTTAGTTGAAAAAGAAGGAACTCAAATTTCAGGAAAACACAATTTCAAGACTCAAGATGAAAGAGACCTGTTTACAGTGGCTCTTCTCTCCCAGGTAATCCAGCTTGCAAGCAGCCTCAGGGACAGGACTAGTCCCAGTGACTTAAGGGAGTAAGGACTCATCCCAGCAAGGCAGAGCTGCATCCTTCTGCAGGGTTATTGGCCAAGGCTGTTAGTCTAAACCACTGCTGTGGGTGTGGCTCTGCTGGCCAGGTGGGCTGCAGCTAACATCAGTAAGGAAAGAGCCTGTGGTCCAAAGAGCCTTCCCACAACCTCCTGTTTCCTCAGCTTACACACTCCCTACAATAAAGCAAGGAATTACTTCAACTAAAAGGATGAAACGCCACAGCAATCTTTCTCCAAAACACAAACACAAAACATGTTGTCATGTGGAAACATGACTCGTGCTGTGCAAAATCCCAGAGGATTACATCAAAGGCCAGGTGAAGACACTTGTCAAGGGTAATTTGAGAGTTACACATCTGAACAATGGAAACCAGTGCCTGCACTGTAACAGCACAGGAGTTTCCATGCTGCAAGTCATTCCGGTTTTGGATGTATTTCTGTCAACACAGCTTGGAAGGGAAGGTAACTGCTGTTGCATCCTAAATAAAACAAAATTAGCAACGTCTGTGGCTAGTGTCCTCAAGAGTATTTGTCTGATTTCTAAAGAAGACTAAATATTCATCTGAAGAAAAAGTCTATTGCTCTAATTCTGGGAACAAACACAGAAAAGTGCTTGAGTTTCAGCTCCTTCTTTGACCTGAGGACATTATGTGTACCAACACGGAAAACACTACCTGTGTTTGCAGATATAAGAAATAGAAAAGTAAGAAAACTATAAGCCATGAAGACAAAAACTGAAATGAATACAAATGGGGAGTAAGGTGAAATTAAAAAACAAAAAGAAACGCCCCCCCCCCAAAAAAAATACAAACCCAAACCAAGAGATAAAAGAGAGAAAAACGTTATTTACTAAATTCTAACTGAAAGCTTAGCCACAGCTAACTTAAAATATTCAAAATCTTCTTTCATTTATAAAGAGCTGATGAAAGAATAAGCTAAATTAAAAGCCAGCTTATTAAGGAAATTTAAAATGTGTGAAATTAGCAATATTTTTTACAGCCACTAGTACCAAGCTTTCTAAAATCTAGTGGAACAGTAATGACAAAAGACTGCTTTTGATAACAATTATGCACAGAGTATTTGATAATTTATTCTTAAAATGAAGAGATCTCTAATAGTAGCAGAAGAGGAGGAATACTGTACTTTTTACTTTTAGCATGAACTATTTGCCAAACTCAGTGCTTACATTGCCTACTAGATAAACTGATTTGTTCAAACAACTAGCCACGTCATGACTATTCAATCAATACAGCAGCTGCAGAACAGCCAGAAGGTCATAATGCAGCACAGGGGACTTGACAAGTTTGTGTGCAGAAGGAAAAGATGAACATGCATATTTCTATACAGACACATACATTTAAGCTCAAACATTTCTACAGAAAACGTCCAAATTCTTTCATATCTGTACCAGACTGTTAAGAGAATCTGCCTGTGGTTTTCACAGACTTCCCTAACAAAACCACATATAAAAGAACACAAATCCTTAGTAATTTTCCTCTAAAGTAACACCTCATGATGTTTCTAGTAAGTTGGTGCTACCACTCCATGACAAGCCATTTGCAGTTTTGCAAGCCCATTTTCTGTTCAAACAGTGCAGTTCACAGAGCACAGATGCAGTCAGAAGCCCAAAACAAGGCAGCACACATTAATGGCCTTGCCTAAAGCCCATTGGTTTGTAGTGGGGATTTGCAGGAGTCAATAAAGACAATGCAAAACCTGCCGCCCAGCAGATGAATGTCAGCACAACACATTGTTGAGCTGGGAATGCCAGTTTGGGTCTCGGGCTTTGTATGCTGCTCACTGGGTGGCAAAAGCCAGCCATCCTATACTGCTTTCAAACAAGTGTAGCTTCCTGAACCCAGTCAGCTTTGCCTACCTCATGAGGGAGCGATATTTGCTTTCCTTTGCCTGAAAAGATCAAAGGGGTCTAAAAATGTAACCATGAAACCTCTATGAAGCCACTTTGAGAGAAAAAATTATGAAAAAAAAAAAGAGAAAAAACAGGGAAAGGAAACCTTTGCTATTGTTGATGAGGTATGGCTTGTATTGCATTGCAGAATTAATTTTTTTATACTAAAATAGTTTTCATGGTAGTCATGGGAAAGGTTGAGGTTGATATCATATGGGAGGATAAATACGGTACAACCAGCCTTGTTGAATCCATTAGACATGGTTTTCTGAAGAGACTGGAGAGCCCCAGATCTACATATTGAGAACAAGCAATCATTCTCTATAATCCCCTCAAATTCTTGGTATAACAAGTACGATGCTATTGACCTCCGAAATTATTAAGTGATTTTTCACTTCTTTTCTAATCTATAGAGGAACCGTTTCCAAACATATCTAGCAGTGCTTTGCATTACAACTGAATCTCGTTACAAATACAGCCAAGTCATGGAACCTCGACCAGTCTGGTACCTTCTCTAGTTGCTTTTACGTCCCACAACAGCACTCAGCCAAACATGTTCTTGCCACTACATTCATATGAGTGCTGAAGTCTGCTAAATCTAGTCCAACCACCAACTGCTTCATGAGTTCAACCTGTGGCAAACAGCACACATTAGCTTTATTTGATCACCAGTTAATTATGGCATTTCTCCTCTTATGAAACAGAACTGGAGCCTATTTATACTTTGGCTTGAAATAACTTGCAACAGAATTAACATATGCAAGTTCTAACAACATTCTTCCTGTTTTATCTATCATACCTTACAGAAGTAGTATTTGCAGTTTAGTCAGTCATTACCAGACATGGTATGTCACCATTGCCTTTCATTCCACTGCAAACAACCTTTAAATTTTTAACTCGGTACACCAATAATATTCTCAGATTTGAAATTTTTCTCATATTTCATCTTAAAATGCTTTTTCCTCTAATAAACTTTATAAACAAACATTGCAGCTTCCAGTTTCTTCCCTCATCTTGCTTTAAGGAGACATGGAGATAACTGTTGCTTTTTTACTATAACCTTACCTTGCTGCATGCCATTTATTTGCTTTCAGAGCTCAGTTACATCTTTCCTCTTCTATTATCTGCAACTGAGCTTGTCAACCATTACTAAACTTGAAAAGTCACTTAGCTGCCAAAGAAGCAAGTACCCTGACTTTGACAAATTTAATAGGATTAGCTCTTTTAATAAGGACATCAGTACCAAAAAAATTGTTCTCATCTCAGGACTAAAGTACATCCCCTTTATGCTATATTTGAGTGAGTTATTGGTTATCAGTTATCGCCAAGATAATTTTGGACCTTTCAAGGCTTATGTCATTAATTCTCTTCACACACTGAACACTTGGAAGGAAGTCAGCTATCTTCCAATTATATTAATATCTGAATAATCCTGAGAAAACAAACTTGAAACTGTACCAAAAAAAAAAAAAAAAACCACCAAAACTGCTCTACAGCTCTCAGTACTCAAAGTTCTCATTTTGACTGTGCATCCTCCATTGAGAAACCTTACATTTTTCTGCTATGACATTTAAAAATAAATTACTTATGTCTGTGCAGGCCATCATTCAAATGGGATTCAGCCAGTGCTATTGTACTGTGATCACAGAAATGAGGAAGTATAGCAAATCGCACAGATTATTTCAATATGAAGATATTTTAAATTATACGGTATGTCTTGAAGAAAATGTAACTGTTAACTCGGATTTTCAGTTTCCTATCTAACAGGGACAGAGACACCCTCGCGAGAGTATTAATCGGGGTATTTTATATTCAAAGGGGAGGCAGACGCAGTGACAATCCCAGCTGTGCTCTAGTACGGGGCCATCGTTGCGAGCAGCGTTCCGTTTTACCGCAACCCATCCAGACTCTCAGCAGCCCATTCGCACCGACCGACCCGACCCCAGGGCACAGCGCGACCCCCGCGCCGCCCACCCGCCCCTGCCTCGGCTGCGGGGAGCCCAGTGCGGCGGCGCCCCCGGGCACCCGCCGGGCCCGGGCAGCGGCACCGCAGCCGCCGGGGCAGCGCGGCGGGACGGCCCCGCCGCCGCCTGCACGTGCGCCCGGTGCCGCGGAGGGGCCGCCCGCGCCCCCGCGCGCAGCCCGGCGCGGCGGGACCCTGCCGCGGAGTGCGACCGCTCCGCGGAGGCGGCACGTGTCTCGCCCTCCGCCGGGAGTAGCACCAGCGACCTCCGGCACCCGCAGGGATTGCTGGCGAAGCAGAGCCCGTCCCGGCGCCCGTTACCTCAGCTGCTTCTGCTCCAGCTTCAGCTTCTTGGCTTGCGGCTCCCCCGCTGCCATCTTCGCGCTGGGCGGCGTGCGGCGCGCTCCGCTCCCCTCGGCCCGCCCGCCGGCCCCGGCCCGCCCCGCCGACCGCGCCGGCACCGCCACCGGGGGGCGGGGGCGCCGGGACGAACGTACGGCCGCGCCGGGCGCCTGACGGGGCGGGGAGCGGAGCCGGACCGCCCGCCGTCCCTGCCCAGCCGCGCGCTGCCGCGGCGCCGGCCCGGGTGGGTTTAGCGCCCGGGGGCCGCTCCCGTCTCCTGCCGGCCGAAGGGGCCGAGCGGTGCTGACCGGCGGCGAGGGGCGGCCGTGGCAGCGGGGCCGGCGGGCCCGGGGAGCGAGGGGGCCGTGCTCGGGCGCTCGGCGCAGGCAGCGCCCCGGCCGGCCGCGCCTCCGCCGGGGGGCGGCCCCGCGCCGCCGCCGGGCCTCGCCGCCATCTTGGCCGCTGTCCCGGGAGCGGGACGGGCCGTGCCGGGCCGGGGGAGGTACGTGGGGCGCGGGGGGCCCGGGCCGTGAGGGAGTGGGGCGGTTCTGTCCGTGCCCGGGGGGACGGGATCCCTGCCGGGCGGGAGCCGCCCGTGCCCGATCCCGGTCGCGCTGGTCGGCCGACGCCGGGCAGGGGCGACATCCCCGCCAGCGGCGGTACCGGGAGGCTGCCCTGCAAATCCGAGACTTCCCGTTTTGTTCGGTGCCCATTTAAATACAAAATCGTCGCCGTGTTCGAGTACCATCCCCCACGCCGTTGTTCTGGGCTGCGGCGGAGGTGCGGAACCGCCCGGCGGAGCGTGCAGAGGCGGTAGCGGCGGGGTGCAGCGCTCACGCTCCGCCGTGAGGCGCAGGGCCGTGAGGGGGACCGGGCAGCGCGGGGCCTGCAGCGGGGCGGTGCGGCAGCCGCAGCCACGCCGGGCCGGGAGGGGCAGGGCGGGCCGGGGAGCGGCGCCGGCTCACCTGGGTCGATCTTCAGCAGCCCTGCTGCAGCCGTGGTGTTTCTACTCCAGCTGTAACCGCTTAATTAGCGAGGGGCCCTGTGAGTGCGGATCTGCCTAATATGCGCTGGGAATAAACGCGTTATCATCCATCACTATGCGCTGCACATCGCTCCCGCCCTGTTCAGTACCCAGCGGCAACTGAGTAGAGGTTGTCGGTTCTTTTCTTTTGTTTCAGTTCAAATCTGCTGTGAATTAGTAATGCACTTACCGTCTTTTCAGTATGATGGATCGTTCGTACCCATTAAGTGTTAATCAAACTGGAGGAATAGCATCACTATTCAGTGTAGCTCTTCTATAACCAACCAGACAAAAAATCATACTTGAATGATGAAAATTTTTGTTCATAGCAGGCAGACTGCAGTATGGGAGAGGAAAAGGTACTTTACAAGAAAAGCAAAACCAACTTCAGTTACTCATGCATGAGGTAAAATGATGGAAACAATGTTTTACAAAAGAACTGACTGTGACAACCATGAGAATGATTTTGCTGTGGCAGTTCCCGGCGGGTTTGAATCATACATAGCTTCTCATTTATTTATTGAAGAGAAAAAAAAGAGAAGATGAAATATCTGAATGATATTGCTCTGTAAAACATCTGTCATATTGCATGCTAACTCAAAACAAGCAAACTTGGGGTTTTTTTTGGGGGAAAGAGGACAAATAGATTCCTTGCTGCCTGTATGCACATATCTGAAAATTCCTTGCAAATGGCAAATCAAACTTGATGAATAGCCTATGCCCTCTCATGTTTGATTTTGCTGGTTTTATTCAGAAATTAAATTTTCTGTTGTGCAAGATCAGCTAAATCCCAATTATTCTCTCATATAAAGATCTCCTTACATGAGGAATCTTTAATAAAAACCTTGTCATGAGGATTCAGAAAAGAGAAATTGAAGTCCTGGAGGTAGAGAAGTCTGAACAGTAGGAGATGAGTGGTGACTGTATTTTATGGCTGTAATAATGGCAATAAATTAAACAAATTATTTTTTTTAAGTGTTAAGTTCCTTCCTTTTATATCCATTTATTTTATCTCCAACTTACAGCTTCACATATAACTTCAAAAAATTAATACAACGAAGATAAGTTGAATCTTTTTTATGCTTATTTAACATAATGTATGAAAGGCAGCCTTTTAACAGGAACTTCTTAGAGTATTCATGAGATTCATTCATACAAGATAAAATAATTAGGGGGGCTGCTTTGCTCTGTCCTCTTGGAGGAGAAGGAAGTGTTTATGTGCCTTCTTTCTGCCTTGTGTTTGGACTGGCTGGGGCAGAGTGCACACACATTGGGAAGGGCTGTCATGCACAGCAGAGTTCCAGTGATGCTTGCTGGCTCTGATGGAGTGTTCCAGTAGTGCATGGCTCTCTGGCACTGTGCTTGTCCTTTCTGGAACCTTGAGTGCCTCTTGAAAGAGAGCCTGTGAAACACAGTAGTATAAAGCTAGGAGCACTGTTGTTCTGGCCTGTCAGACTTACTGGAGGAGTGAACTGGGTGAGCATGGTGGAAAACATCTTCACAAAGAGTTGCTGAGTTGGGGCTTTGATATCCTATGACTGAATCCTTCTGCCTTGTCCATTCAGAGTTCTTAATGGTTTGGCTGGAATATGAGCCTAATTATATTCCCGAAAATATTATGGACAGTAAATATGTGACATGAGACTCACTTTATCTCTGTCCATTTGGCCCTATCTGTCTATTCTACTGCTTTCAGAGAGTGAATTTCTTAAATCGTCCGTTAGTAGTCCTAAACCTACTGATTCAGATCTAAGTAGTGTTCAAAATGTTCCATTTCCATGTAAAAATGTAGTTTTAGCAAGGAATTTGTAATTGTTTTGGTGTGGGTTTTTTTTCTAAGAAACTCTAGCTTTTCCAGCAAAGCTTTCTATTCTTACAGGTCCCAAAGGGAACTGCAGCTATTCAGGATCTAATATTGTTCGATTATTCAGAATCTAATATTGTTCTGTTGATAAGAGATGGAACTCTCTTGCCAGCAGTTAGAAGATTTATACTGGAACTAAATTGAACAGAGGTGCCATGCAAGTGTGTTATTGGAAAGCTCATCAGACAGTAGATTAAATGCTGCACAAATTCTCATGCAGGCTGTAATTGCTACTGGTGAAAGCACAGAGGAAACTGCATATTTTGTTATGTCTACCAAACACTGATTTGAGTCAACTTTTGACTATTCTCAAAGGACTACTTCCTTTTAAAAACAATTTCAGAAAGTTACTAACAGTGTTTTAAATTATAGCAAAAATAAATAAATATATGCTGAACATCTGGGAAGCAAAGCATTTAGTCTTTAATAGGGATGATCTTGCTGATAAAATATGTCTGAGTAGTTGTACAGACACAAGCACTTCATGGTGCTGAGTAGACATGAAATTTTATTTGACTAACAGAGGAGGACAACAAGCGGTTCTTAAAAAAGATTGCCAAAATGTTTTTACTTTGATGTGTAGATACCTAAGCTGTGAGCATCTTATATGTAAAAATATTCATTACACTTGAGCAGCATCATTTAAGACACACAAACAATAATAAGAGCATAAAAGCCCTTGTGAAAATTACAGAAGATTTAGTAAACAGAGCTTTAGTAAACCTGAGACTTCCATATTTATCATCTTAAATCACAGCTACTAATGATGTGTCAGATTGGTCCTGCCAATTATACAATATTTCAGAACTGCCATGTTGACTGTCTTGAAAGTGTTGTTCGGGTGCTTAATGGGACTTCTCTTTATTAGGTTTGCTGGGTTGAAAGCCAGTGAATAGGGTTGGGGAGGTCAGGAACACATTTGTGGCACATTGAATTTGTAGGAAAAAGCTAAAGTGCTGACTAGCTGATCGTGACAAAAGTACTAGCTTCAACAGAAATAGAGCTGCCTATTTTAGTTTATTTCTCCAGATTACTTTAAGCATTTGATTACTTTCCATTCATTTGTCTCTAGAAGTTCATTTCCACAAATACATAACAGAGACTCAGACAGTCTACCCCCACTAATTCTTCCACCCTTCAGAGCAGCTATGCCAAGTTCAGGGAACATTGAAGCTGTGGAATACTTTCCTAGTGATGGTCCTATTTGGAGCTGTTTTCAGTAATTAGTACTAGCTCTAAAGGGCATTGCAGAGGTCAGTGATAAATTCCTCACTTTGTGGCTTCAGAGCTTTGTATGTAACTCAGCTCAGTGTTATGAAAAAGCAGCTGTTGACAGTATTTCTGCATTAATTACACTTTAGAGTACTTAATTGTAGCTAAGGACAAGCAAGTGCAATCAGTCTTTTTTCTCATGCTCACAGCCTCTTTCTCTTGCCAGTGAGTTCCGTTTTTGTCTTGTGAGCCTGTTGTGCTTTAGTCCAGATGTTTCCGTGCCAGGAATTTGAAAATCAGTAACATTGCAAATCCAGATTTAGTCAAAAGAAAAGTTAGAGATGTGGAAATAGCTCACTGGAGACATCTTAGTTAAAATATGTTTTTTCTTCTCTGTGGACTTCAGATTCTGGTAGGATGGAAATGACCAAGATGAATCACGTGGAGTTTTGCACATCAGACGAAGGATGGGAAGTTTGTGAGAAGAAGCTGCAAAACTGCAGGGCTGCTTGTTGGTGCAGAGCCTGTAAGGTGCCTTGCAGTCAGGCAGTAACATGAAAGTCTGTCAGTCTACTGAAAATGGGCTTGAACAGTTTGCTTTGGCCTAGATGCAAATAATGATCCATGTACACCTTCAGTCTGCTCTTAGGCCTAAAAACAGAGAGATGGAAGGCATGTCCTATAGAACTGTCCTAGAAACATCTTCAGTACCTTACACAGAGTGGTTTTATGCTGACATCTCAAAATGGTGTCTTTGTACACTACTACATGGAGAAGAATCTCATGATTCCTGAATTCTAGTAATGTACTTTTGCTAGTGTTTTTTAAAACTTAGGAACTTTGTTTCAAGACCTTTGCCCTCAAATTGCTGTAACTCCTAATATTCTTTGACCTACTGGTGTGACAAATTCTAATGTTACTGGATTGATTCCTTATGTTCAGCATTTGTCAATCTTTTTTGCTTTTCAAGTCATGTTCTGATGAGACAAAAAATTCAGGTACTGAGAAATTAGTTCAGGGATCTCTACATGTCCAAAATGAAATCTGGCACTCAAAAATAGAGTAACAGGGAAATCTTCAGTATTTGGAGCAATGTATGTAATCTTTGTTAAATGATAGTTTATATATCTTGTATTGATATTTTTGTAGTGTTACCTTTTCTAAGATATTCAACATGAAATCTGTCTTTAATCAGCTGGTGCCAATTGCTTTACAGTGTATGGGATAAATCAAATTACTTAGTCTTGTGTATAATAGACTGATGTCTCCACTGCTGTTGGAGCATCTTTATTATAGTACGCACTGGGAAGTGAACCAACTGAGCTGCCCCTTGACTGACAGGGCAGGCCTTGTACCTCTGGGGCTGCCAGCTCTGCACTTAGGCTGCAAGGAGAGAGCTTCAGTTTTCCAGAGCACCTCATATTAGCAGCAAGTTAGCATACTGCTAAAACTTGTGAAGGAAGAGAGGAGTATGTGAGAGGATTTGAAGGGAAGTCTTATGCTAGAAGCAGAATATACATAGTGGGACATTCTGTAATTCCTGTCTTCCTACTTAGAAGATAGGGTAGGCAGTCAGGTGGCATTTTACTGCTCATATTCCATGGGTACTACAAAGCTGTCATCTGCCAAGCATGGTCCCCTGGATCAGTTTGCTGCTCTGGTTCACCACCAGGCCACACAAACACTCCTGTGAACCCAGCTGGTACCTAGGCAGCTTGGGGCAGATGAGTAAAGAAGGGCAGTGGCCAAGTGCTCCTTCCCCTTCTGGCTGCCCACGCCCTCCCTTGATGGCGTATCAAGTCATGGTCTAATATCCTAAGTGGAACTTAGGGCAAAAGAAGGGGCCCTGCTATTACAGTCATTTGGTGCACCAGGAGCTTGCTGTGATTGTGTGGTCTCTGCTGCACAGCTGCACTTCCTAAAACTATATTGTGACAAATGCAGACAATTTCTGATGTGTAGATGAATAGAATCTGGATGAATGTTAACAGAAGCACTACAAATACTGTCACACGTGTCTGATACTCTTTGTTAGTGTATCGTTAGAAGCTGCCTGCTGAACAACATAGCTCCTCCAGAGCAGGCTGTGGATCAGCTCTCTGGAAGTGGAGTCCTACCAGTGCTGCTTGTCCTGGATTCTCAGATGCAGCTTTGTGTGCATTTAATAGGAAATGGGTCTGATATTTGTTAACAGATATGCTATTGTATCCATTTTAAAATGTACAGAGATCTATTCTAAGCTTTACAGCTGAGCACCTCTGTATGTGTGGGCAGCCGTGGTGTCGAACAATACTGACATTCAGTGGTTGATTATACTTGCCACCCTTGTGTGACTATCCAGGAGATTTTTGGAAGGCTTTAATGTTCAATGCTGGCTTTAATGTTCAATGCTGGCTAAATTCACAACATGTTTACTGGAACTGGATTAAAGCAACTGTGCTCATTTATAAAAATGCTGTGCTCACAGTATTAAAATTTTCTGGGTTTTTTTAACAAACTAAATCAGAGATTCATTTGGTTCAGGAGAGAGATAGTAGAAACATGCAATAACACTTTTTAGCTTTGTTTCCTTTCCCCCTTTTAAGCAAATTTGCAATCACAGTTTCTAAAAGAACTTCCCTTTACATTCCCTATTGGCTTAGAAGAATATTTTTGTCCCCCTTTTCACTATTGGTCTTTTTTTGTCAGCTACCAAAGACTGCATGCTCTTGGCAGGAGGTCTCTGAGACCTGGCATGGCCCCAGTGAAGATGAGCACGTTGCTGTCATGCTTGGGAAGGAGCAGCTGGAGTTTAGAATTTGAAAAGTTGGATCTTGGCTTTCTTCCCACATCTGCTGACTTAGGTGGAGGGAAATACCATGCTGACAACCTTCTTGAGCTATCCTTTTTCACTGTAGTTGGTGAGCTTTGGAAGGCATACTTTTGTTTTGTGAAAATCTGAAGGGCCAGACCATTTTTCATTGTTACAAGTCTTGGTACAAGACTTGCATTGGTAGATGAGATAGTACTCTGAGTAGTTCAGATTCAGACACAGAAACACAAGTTCACTCTGGGTGGGTCTGGCTGCTTATTCCAGTATTTTGGAACAAGATTTACTCATACAGTGCTTATAGTCTTAAAATCTCTGTGGGACTGGGCCATGTGCATGTAGATGCTTCCATACTATTTTTATGTTAGAGTTAACAGAGAAGGAGCACATTTTATCTGTGTTTTAGGACAGTATCCTGGGCAAACATGTTAAAAATTAATGAAAACTACTATGGGTTTTTGGTTGGTGTGTTTGGCTTCTCTTGGACATGCAGAGTTCATGGTGATCTTCCTGTTTCAAGATATGGACACCCAGTAATTGTCTGATCTCTTTCCAGTCATGTTTGAATTCCTCCAAAGAGTAACTTTCAATTCTGGCTCTCCATTGCTATCGTCTTCCCATTTCCACCATATGCCCTGTGCCAGCTCTAGCACTCTGTCAGTGAAATAACTTGCATTAGAAGCTGGTCTAACCAGCAGCTCCTTTTGCTGGGTCAATTTCTGGCTGGACTATTTTCCTAATGTAGATAATTGCAGAGCCACAGACCTATTCAAATCAATACCTGAGAGGCAAAAGGGAAGAACAGCCAGTGCCAGGGATAGCTTCTTCAACTACAGATTAATTTATGCTTAACATTAGTACCAAGTTAACTTCACCTTCAGAAGCTGCTGTTGGGGTTACAGTTGTGTTTGTTTTCTAAGCCCAAGTTCTAACTTATTTTTTAGGAGGATCATTATGCTGCAGGTCAGCCAAAGTTGTATCTGTCTCACGTAAAGGCTGAAGAGATAAACTGCAGCTTGCTAGCATTTGTCTCCTCTGTAGATGCAGAGATAATAGAGTATTCATTTTATCAGCTACTTAGTTCACTTACTATCACATTGAAAGTTGAGAAATAGACTTGGAATTATTTTTCTAGCAGGCACATAAGCTACTTGCCCCATGAATAAAATGAAGGATCAGTGGCTGAGACATGTTATTTGTAAATGTTTAAAGAGATAAGAATAAGTTACATTCCTTACCTGCAGTTCATACTCCCCTTTTACGCAAGTGAGTTTGGAAGTGAAAAACATTTTATATAAATATATTTCATGCGTGCTAAGCACATTTGAGACAATTTTATCCATTAAATCAGATTTAAATGGCTAGTTTTGTGTACTTTTAATGAATTCCAACCCTTTACCCAAATGCAGCTTGGAATAGATCCTAAGACAAATCTGCCAGCAAGTAAAAAGCACTTTTCTAGTTCAATAGCTGAAAGCTGACAAGCTAAAGAGCTGTATCTTTAAGACAGAGCAATTCTAAGTTAAGTGGGCAACTGACAGGCCAACTGCCATAGGAAACTTTCTGTACAACTAACTCTTTCATGTCAGCAAATACGTTTGAGCGAGTGCCAGCTCACGGGAGTCAGCTTTTCTTTAAGAAATAAATTGCAAATACCAGATAGGGATGAAAGTGGAAAACTAGGGTGCTTTCTTCATGCTTGCATTATGATATACATTAGCAATTTAATCCAATGGCAAATATTTTTTGATAAAATGTTCTTGTAAATACAGAAAATGGAATGCAAATAAAAGCAACACAGTATATATTTTTCCTAAATTCACAGTGCATGTTAATAAAGAATAACCATCATAAGAAAGGGAATCTGGGATATGAAATGCCAATCCACATATCCTTTTGTTTATTTTAACTTCTTTTAATGTGTTTCCAACAGAAAATGATCCACAGCCTGTTTCTTATAAACTGTTCTGGTGATATCTTCTTGGAGAAGCACTGGAAGAGTGTTGTGAGCCAATCTGTCTGCGATTATTTCTTTGAAGCTCAGGAGAAAGCAATTGATGTTGAGAATGTGCCTCCTGTCATCTCAACTCCACATCACTACCTCATCAGCATCTATCGGGATAAAATCTTCTTTGTGTCTGTCATACAGACAGAAGTGCCACCACTCTTTGTAATTGAATTTCTGCACCGAGTAGCAGATACTTTCCAGGTCCGTCACCATTCAATGGTTTTTAAAATCAGTGTCTGAAGGAGGCCTATGGGAAAGCCAAAGAGGGACTCTTTGTCAGGAACTAGAGTGACAGGACAAGGAGAAATGAGTACAAACGGAAAGAGGGGAAATTTAAGCTAGATATTTGGAAAAAAATCTGTTCTGTGAGAGTAGTAAAATAGCAAATGGAACAGGTTGCCCAGAGAGGTTGTGGATGTCCCAAGTGTGGCAGTGGTCAGGGCCAGGTTAGATGGGACTTTGAGCAACCTGATCTAGTGGGAGGTGTCCATGCCCATGGCAGGGGGGTTGGGACCACCCCTTAACATTCCATGATTCTGTGATTCTAAAATTACTTCAAGGGATTTTTTGTATAAACTTCTTTTAGAGCAAGGTAATGAACCCTTCTGTGAGTGACTTTTCTGTCTGCAATTTTTAAGTCAAGCACAGGTTTATAGAGTACAAGGGAAAAAAGAGGTTTATTTTGTGCACTCACAAGCACCAGATCCCAAATCCAACTCTGTAAATGCTGAGTTTCTGTAATTTTTTGTACTATTACATGTTATGTAGATGGGAAGAAGGAGCATGTAGTCAGGCAGCATGCACTGTGTAGTGAGGAAAGGGCTGCAAAGAAGTCACTTCTCGACCAATTTCACACTTTATATAAAGGAAATGCTGTGAAGATTGAGCGTTGCCAAAAGATAGTATCTTTATTTTAGAAGAGTCTCAAAGATATGTTAATGTTCACAACTAGAAGGACCTTTGTAACATAAATATTATCACATCACATTATATTATTTCACTGTTCATGCTTGTATTTATTTTCAGTTAGGTGATAAATATAACATTAACAATATGATGCCATCAGACTATAGAACTAGTCCGTTTAGGCACTAAAATACCTTCATATATTGGAGGATTTCTGTAAGAAAAAACCAAACAAACTTCCTTTTGCGAAGCATTCTAACAGGAATAAAAATCCTCTCTTTTGTAATCTCTGAATTCGTTTAGGATTACTTTGGCGAATGTTCTGAGACGGCAATTAAGGACAATGTAGTAATTGTGTATGAACTTCTAGAAGAAATGCTAGACAATGGCTTTCCATTGGCAACAGAATCTAACATACTGAAGGAGCTGATTAAGCCTCCCACAATTTTGCGCTCTGTTGTCAACTCCATCACAGGTATGAAAATATGTAACTTCAGCAATGATGGCTGTTTAAAAAAAAAATCATGTCTCGTAGCTAAAAAATAATAAATTGGTGTGAATCTGTAAGGTGAGGGCAGTGTCCTGCCACTTCTCATCAATAGAAGTTGAATAAAAACAAGTCCCTCCTTATTTGCAGTTTACACCTGGCCCCTTTGCTGTCCTTGGAGGCACTGCCTGGTTCAGCCACAGCTGCTGAAGTCCCTCAGGAACAGCAGCTCCTAACACAGTCAGGACATACTGGAGACAGGTGCTCTGGGATTGGTACAGAGCTCACCCCAAGCCTTGAATAACTGAGGGGCACTGGAGAAGGTTAAGCATTTTGTAAGAAATCCATATAGGAAGGTGTATAATAGATATCTAATAAATCCTTGACGGGTGGGAACAGATAGCATGAAGGGAAGCAAGTAGCCTGGCCTCATCTCCCACCCTGCCCCCAGCACCAAGCAGCACATGGACTCATGTGGATTTGATTTCGCAACTGATTTCAGGCTGTTGTAAATGGGTCTGTCTTGCAGTGATGAAGCCAAATGTCTGTCAGCTGAGCTGGTGGAATCTGCTTGTCTGGCAAGCGGGTGCAAGGGAGGTGAGCCATGAGTGTCACATGGGGGCAGAGATGCAAGATGGTCACTTGTACATTGTGTTAGAGAAGGGGAGTAGTTGGGCTGCAGGGCCACACGCATGATAGTCAGAGGAGCTGGTCTTTCAGGTGGTAGATATGGTTTAGTCTTAGAGTATAAATCTCATCAGTTTTAATTTCTGTTATTTGGAGCTTAATTAGGTTTTTTACATGTGGATTGGAATGCTAGTATTTACACTTATGAAAATAAGTGTTTTATCTAAAACCTTATTAAAATTCACTAGGAGCCTAAAGTGCCTGACCAAGGCAGCCTGCATCTTGTCACTGTCAACAGCTTAGTGCTGAGCAGGGGGAAACAGCAGCCTGAGAGGTCTCCCATCTACCTGGCCTGGCAGCACTGCTGCACCCTGCAAGGCTGCTGAGGGACAGACACAGCAACTGCTCCTCTTCAGAGATGCAGTGGGAGTGAAGAACTCCTCCCCACTGAGTTACAGCACATACAGGCAGGGGTGGACTATAGGAAGGGGTTTTTTTTGAGTAACTACTTCTACAAGCTCAAAGGAATGAAAACTTCTGTTTTCTGCCTGCCATACTAGGGCCTGCCCAAGCAAGTTTTGTAGAAATACCTGCTGGCCACCAGCTTCTCACTGAAGCTGTTTCACATGGCAGGACACACTACCATGTTCATTGTGCTAAAGGCCACAAGTCAGCATGAGCTGTGGCCCTATCTCAAGACCTACTTCTAGCTGAGGGAGCTGTTTACTCTGTGCTGGGATTCTGGCATCAAGTCACCTAAGCCTCAGAAGTGGTAATATTTTTTTTTCCTCTTTTTAAAGTCTCATCAATTTAATTTATAACTAAGCAGCTCAGGAAGCCTTCTACTCATGCTTGATGGTATTGAGAACCAGGAGCCAAGGGTGAGAGCAAGGCAGGCAGGGACAGTGGTATCATCGGTCGGGAGCCCAGAAGTTGAGGCAACAGGTCAGGGACTGACTGGATCAGATGATCAACAGGTCATCTACAGCTCAGTGGTTGCCAGTGATGTCCATCAGAATGGGACAGGTCAAGCCAGAAAGTCCAGTCTGGGCCAGGGTCTGGATCGATTTGACACATGGTCAGGTATAGACATGGCTGTCATGTTGATACAGGGTAGTTCAGACGGGTACCAAGGGTGAGACCCTCAGCCTAACAGCAGCTCGAAGCAAAGATTGTAGGAGCCCTCCCTAAGGCTTCTTACACATCTTTCTTGCTAATGACTCTTACCTGTTAATCAGCCCTGAAGTCATCCAGCTAAAACTCTTGGGAGAAGGGGGAAGCAGGATTAAGGCCCTCACAGGGAGCTGTCTTGTGTTGAATTAGTGATTAAATCCTCCATAAGATCTAGCCCCACAACTACTCCCACTCAAACTTGCTGCTGACCTGAGTGTTGTATTTTGCTGCGTAAGATGTAGTCTGAAAAGCTGTTAAGTCTGGACACATGGCTCTAGTGCCTTCATGTCACCTTACAAATAACATGAGGGGTCCAGGCTCTAGCCTACAGTACCAGGGGCAAGCCTTGCCTTGATTTTTAATTTTGGTAGTCGAAACATTCCTTTTGTAATGAATTACTGATTTTAAGTTCCTTTTCATTTTTAAGGCAGTAGTAATGTGGGAGACACGCTTCCCACTGGACAGTTATCCAACATTCCTTGGCGCAGAGCGGGAGTAAAATACACAAACAATGAAGCCTATTTTGATGTCATTGAAGAAATTGATGCAATTATAGACAAATCAGGTAAGACAGCTTGCAAACTAATATTAGTTTCTTTAGTGTGTTTACATGTAACTAATGATGTTTTAGAGAGAATTCAGTCCAACCTTCTTTGTTTTTGCATATGTTTTATATACTTGCATTTATATCTTAGGTAGAAATATTCAATTTAAAATTATGAGCTTAAGTATATTTCTTCAGTTCATCTTAAAACAGCAACATGCTCTGGGCTGCTTCGAGAACATCCAAAAAAAGTATGTTTTCTGTTTGTATATTGATTATCTTTTAACAGATATAAATGAGGAAAAAAAAGTAGTTGAAATGTGATGAGAAAATTATGTCCCATTGTTCCTGCCAACAATGTATTGTAGTCCTTGAAGGCCCTCAAGTGAGCAAGACAAAAGCTTTCTTCTGATAGCAAGCTAAACATGGTGCAAAATAGTTGGACAGTATTGTTTTCCTTATATTTAAGGAGCCAGATATTAAGAAGCATAATAATACTCCTTTCTTTTCTGTGAATGAAACATATCATTTTCTAATACAGAAGTCTTTATTCTGATATTTAACTTTGAGGAGGAACCTGATAACTTGTATGCCAAGAAAAAAAATTACGCAAAAAGAAAACTGCAAAGCTGTGGGCAGGAACTGCTGTTTTGTTCAGTATTGGGGCCAGCAGTTGGCAAGGATGAAGACTGCAGGACACTCTTCTGAGCTAGTATGGGGCAGGGAGAAAACCTCTGATTATTCATTCAGTGCTGCTGTTGTAGCAGTGTCAGTGTTGATTCTGTACACCACTTCTGCAAATGCTTTGGCCATCATTGAAGCAGATAATCATAAATAGCCATTGTGCAGCTCTTATTCTCCCCATCTTGAAGCTAAAACAATGTGATCCTTATAGAGCCCTTATAGAACATGCTGATGACTGTGTTACTGTCCTAGCTCCTTAGGATTCCCTGGAGTAGTGTGAGTGCATAGTCTGAGAAGGTACAGTCAAGAGCATGGTGAATTTCTGCATGTATTTCAGGCTAAATTAGATCCTTCCTACTGAGGATCTGCTGCACTAGCCCCTGGGGATTAGCAATGCAAGAACCCCTCTTTATAGCTTTCACCAAGACTAAGGTAGATAAGGTTGCTCCCCTAGAATAGGGAGGTTATCTTGTTTCACAGGGATATGGTCGACTGCTTTAACCTGAAACAGGATCACTTCTTTTCAAACAAAGTATAAAGCCACCATCTCTCTTTTCCCTTGCCTAGATAAGCCAGTTTCTACCTATCTTCTAAAATTGCCTTTGCATGTGAAGTTAATTAATTAGTCCAGGGTCCTGCTTATGCCTTTTTTTACTTGGAAGATACTTCAGGAAATGAGCATTTCCTAGGTAAAATGCTTAGTACTCTTGCTTTGGGGTTTTTTTGGTTGGTTTTTTTTTTTTTTTTTTTTTTTTATTTTTTTAACATCAAGATGAACATTTAATTTCATTGTTAAACAACATTTACTTGTGAAAGCCAAAGTTAGCACCAACTTACTGCATTTTGACATTGACTGTTTCTATGTGCTTCAAATTCCCTGCACCACTACAACTTGATAGTTTTCTGGAGATCAGGGACAGGAATAAAAGAAAAGATTCAGAGCCGGTATGTTATGAAATTCTTATTTGCTTATTGCTGACAACCAGTTCAAGCACATCCAGTACAAGTCCTGTGTAACAGCTGGCACAAGTATCATGAACCAGTTTGGGACAGGCTGTTTGCTCTGGCTCATGTATTTTAGCAAGCTCCCCAGGACACAGGTAACTGGAATGACCTTTCCTAGCTAAGCTTGGCATGTTGTTGAGTGTTGTGCAAGTGTCATCTGTGTCCTCTAGCTGTACTTCACCACATCTGTTAGGCCTTTCATAATAATGTTAGTCAAGTGTCTTGTTTTTCTCTGCAGGTTCCACTGTCTTTGCAGAAATCCAAGGTGTTATTGATTCGTGTATTAAGCTCTCAGGAATGCCAGATCTTTCTCTGTCTTTCATGGTAAATTCAGCCTATATTCGGGAATCTTAATTGCTCAGGATTTATTTTTCTTAGTGATCAGAGTTAAACAACTTTAAGATCACTATCACTATTTCATGTGTTACACATATGTAAAGTAACACATTTTGCATTATATTGTAGAAGCTGCATAGTTCTGTAGTTGGAATGGCTTTTGTGCATACATAAAAATAGCCTCACAGGAGCTGCTGTACCAGGTCAGATCAGAAACCCATCCAGCTCATAACATGTCTCTGATAATGATACTCAGAGTCTAAGAAATAGGAATTGGGAAGATTTCAGTAGCTAGCTCAGTCTGCTGGTACTTGATGAGGTTTCACTTAGCATTGTGCCACTCCTTGCAGAACCCACGGCTGCTGGATGACGTCAGCTTCCATCCATGTATTCGGTTCAAGCGCTGGGAGTCCGAGCGAGTCCTGTCCTTTATTCCTCCCGATGGCAATTTCAGACTCATCTCCTACCGTGTCAGCTCCCAGAAGTATGTTTGCATTCAGACACACTGCTCTTCCAGCTGCACCACCTGCTGCTTTCCACCTAACAGCACATTCCTCCTTGCTCAGGGGGGAGTTTGCATTGTTGTGAACTGTGTGTGCTCAGGTTTTGTCTCAGCTGTTGCTCTGTCCCTACTAAAAGAAGAAAACCTTTCAGTGACCTGCAGATACTCAGTAATAATTTTTCAGTGGAGTAAATCACACATGACAGCCATATAGGGCCACTCAGTCCTAGTAAGTGTTGTTGGTGCTAAATGCTTTATGAGTAAGTCTCTGTGTACATGGAGGATTCTGAGTTTCATGAAGAGAGTAAAGCAAAAAAGTCCAAATTACAGAAATTTGCAAATTAAAGCTTGATCTGACTAGTGGCTCTTCTGAGATTTGGCTCAGTGAGATTACTTAAAATAAATAAATAAAACAGATTAAGAGAGAATAAGACCAGGCATTTGGATGAAAAGAAAGAAAATATTTTTTCCTGTGATTCTCTGATGATAAAATCATTTCAGTAATGATGATGAAGAGCAGAGTATCACTTCCCTTACCACTTCTGAAACCAACCAGTTCTAACTTGAACACCTACCAGAAACAGAAGAACCATTTATAAGAAAGTGCTTCAATTTCTCAAGCAGAGAAGTAGCCAGGATGCATTCAGCTACTGTCTTCTCTTTTCAGCTTGGTGGCAATTCCTGTATATGTGAAGCACATGATCAGTTTTAAGGAAAATACTTCTTCAGGAAGATTTGATGTTACCATTGGACCAAAACAGAATATGGGGAAAACAGTAGAAGGAGTAGTCATGACAGTTCACATGCCAAAGGCTGTACTTAACATGAACCTCACTGCTACACAAGGCAGCTATACATTTGACCCAGTTACTAAAGTAAGTCTTGAACTTTTATTTATTTAAATATTGAAGATGGCATTACTAAAGTCACCCATATTGCAGAATACTGGAACAGTGTTCCACGCTTGGCAGAGAGCTCTGTTCAGCATATGTTTATGAATTAAAAATTTACCTTTAAAATTTGCTTTTTCAAACTTAAATACACAGCAGCTCTGATTTCTGACTTCAACAGTATCTTTTTCCTTCCCTTCCCTCTCTTTTCACCCTGCTCTTTCACCCATTAATATCTTTCCTTAGTGGATGTAGCAGTATTTTGCCAATAGTTTCAGCCATGATATATTTTCATATATGTTATGAAAACATATTTTTCTGAAGGAAATGCACTAGCCTTGAAAATGGGTAGACAGAAAAACTGCGAGCAGGAGATGAGGAAAAAAATGTCTTCCAAAAGACCTGCCTAAAGACACACAGGAAAATGAAATGTCTGAAAAAGCATGTCTTGGGCTCCTGATTCCTTGCCTCTGAGCTGGGGGTTGAGACCTAAATTTCATAAAGCTCCTGAAGCCTTTTAGTAGCCAGGAGCCATTTTGCTGAAAAGCAGTTTGAGCCAAAACATTCTGCTGGCACTAATACCCTGCTCTGAGTTTTCTGCTGCCCTTGGAATATCTCAGTCAGCAATTCATTACAATTGTTAGGGAAAGCTCTCCAAGTAGCATTTTCTTTCAAAAACAACAGATCTTTTTAAAAGAAAAGCACCAACAAAAAACTTAAGGTGTGCTTTTCTCTCTGTAGAAATAAATTTTACTGTGTTTTTATCAAGAGCTGGGATAACTAGGTGGATTGAAACTGCAAAAATTTTTAAAAGCATAGGGAATTGAGGTCTTTCTGCATTTATGACTTTATGGTAAGAACAAACAAACCACCTCTTGTGGGTGAGTAAAGGGCCTGCTTGGTTCCACATTTCTCCAATGAGTGTAAGAATCAATGGCAAACAAGTGAGCCTTGAGAAAGTTAGTATTGGTTTGGACAATCTCCTTCGGTCCAGTGCCTTGCCCTCCTCATTCTTGTTTAAGTTTCTACGTCTAAGTTTCTTAAGCTTCTCTCTTGGCTTCATAGATCCAGCTGACCCAAACAGACATCAGGGTCAGTTATGCTCAGCAAAGGGAACAAGATGTTCTCAGAGCCACACTGACAGGGTGAGAAAAAGATCCCATACCTGCAGGAGCTCTCTCCCAGCCAGTGAGGTCATGCTCAGGGCTCACAGGCTTCTGTTTGTACCCAGCCTGCAAACTAAAAGCTGGACATAAACTTGACCTCATAGGTTGTTTCCTAGAATGCTACTACTACTATTCTCTCCTTCCTGACAAGGTGCTAACATGGGATGTGGGCAAAATCACCCCTCAAAAGCTACCAAACCTGAAGGGCATAGTGAACCTGCAGTCTGGAGCCCCCAAGCCAGAGGAGAACCCAAGTTTAAACATCCAGTTTAAGATACAACAGCTTGCAATTTCAGGTGAGTGGGGGATATTACATGAAATTGGTGCTGGCAGAACAAGTTGGTGTAGGAAATGAAGTGGGAAATTGTTAATCATTTATTTGGAGGTGCAGATCTGAAGTCAGCTTGGTCCAAAATTACAAAGTCTGATTTACCCAAACCTGACACTTACCCTTGCTGGAGGATTTCTTTGCTAAGAATTCTGAATTCCCAATTATTTACTTATGAAAGACTGTGAGAAGTATACAGAAGAATGGATTTTTCTTTGTTAACTGGTGCATTAAACATGCAAAAATGTATCCTTTTAGTGAAGACTGATGGATGATGATTTAGTGTGCTGCTCCTGACATGCTTTAGCCTTGTACCACTAAAGCTCTTTCTAGTGGTCATAAAAATGCATTCATTTTGAAGAATGCCCTTCTTACTCATTCCTTCTGGAGTTCGTTAGTTTTTCATCTTTGAAACAATCTGCAAATAAAAGCAGAGTGAAGTCTATAGGCTAAGTGCAAAAGTAAATACAAAGCAGACAAAGCCTCAGTCTGCAAACACTTAAACCATGTAAGTTATCCTTGTGTAAAGTGCTTCTCTAAGTAAACTTTTCAGGATTAAGGTCCTAACAATGCAAGAACTCGCATTCAGAGAGGTAGAGGAGGGGGATGACTGAAGGCAGTTGATGAGTGTTGGTGGTAGTACATGTGGTACCTTTCTGGATAGGTACCAGGCCATGGTGGTTTTGGCTCCTAGACTATTTGGAGTAAATAACAGTTCCTGTGTAAGAACAGAGTCTTGCAGCTTCCTCCTAAACTAGTTTAAATCTAGCAAGATAGAGCTGGTCCAGTGGCTGGACACCAAAGATAACGGAGCTGTGAGAAAGCACGGAACAACCTGAAGCTGTAGGTAATTAATAGCTACTGGCATTCCTCAGGAAATAGCAGAGGGATTGCTCGTTCTTGCAATTACAACTGGTAGTGAAAAGAATGCTAAAACTTGTCCTTTGCTTCATCTCCATGATCAGAAAGGAGTGCAGTGTACAGGAGCTGTGGAAGATAGATTCAGCTGCTCTGTAGTTGATCTCTTGGAAGGAGGATGTTGGCTTATGGAATAGAAGAGGAATAAGGTGTTGCCCTGCCAAGACAGCTAAGATTAGGTGACAACAATGTTCTCACCTGCCACTCTGAACCAGATGAACTTGTGAAAGAAAGGGAAACAGCTTCCTAACCTATCTTAAAAGTCCTTTCAAGATGGCCAGATTTCTAATCAGACTGCTGTGATTCCTGCTTTTAACTTTGTACTTGTCTCTGTCTTTTTTCAGGACTGAAAGTGAATCGCCTAGACATGTATGGGGAAAAATACAAGCCTTTTAAAGGTGTCAAATACATTACAAAAGCAGGAAAATTCCAAGTCAGGACTTGAGAAGATGCTAAGAGGAAATTCCCCTTAAAAATCTTGACTGCTTAGTGACTTATGTTGGTTAGGTGCCAATTAATTAATAGACACTGATTAGTTCGGGATCAAATCATTTGTGCACAGCAGCTCTTAAAATGAAAGCATAGCTTTGTTTTTCTTAATATGGCTTTAAAATAAGGTACTTTTTTTCTATTACACTTTCACTCTTTTTTTACTGAATTGTTGTGCTGGTGAATAGTTTGATATGGGCAACCCACAGATACACTGCCAGTCAGATACCAAAGCCCTGAGGTCAAGCACATTCTGAAGGCCAGACAGGCCACTGGAAAAGACTTCCGGTGGCATGTTTTCCTGCTGCAGCCACCTGCAAAGAAAGCTCAGCTCCACCCACAGCCAGCTGCAAGCTGGCATTCCACAAAGCAACACGTAATCCCTTCAGAAACAGAGAGCAGCAGTGAGAGGGGCAGGGGTCCCCCCCAGGGCCTGGGACATTGCAAGTGTCACTCCTGAAAAAGCTTCTGATGAAGTAAAAAATAATTTCTGTGTTGTTTACAAGAAATCGCCTTTCTTAAGAAGCATTTGCCTTAATCAGCTTTCATTTCTGCCATCTGCAGATGAGCTGATAAAAATAACATCCTGCATTAAATCTTGGAGGTGATTGTTGCTTCAGTAATCCACTTTCTTTCCATTCAATTACATCATCCCCATCATTTTTTTTAAGAATACAGTTGCAGAGAGTAAGATCTATTTTTTATGTGAAGCCTTTGCTTTGATTTAGATGTTCCACTTGTTTGAAGTGGATGCCATCAGGTCTGTGCAGTGTGTACTTTTGAGCGTAGCTTTTTAGATAGCACAGTAGAAGTGTCAAGTGTATTTAATGGTTGTGTGCTTTAATGTTCTGAAATAAAGGGAACTCCACTGCAAATATGTCTCACCTTATGGAACGTTCATGCTCTTGTAAACGATTCATGGGGCTCTTAAGCAGGAGGCATCTGATACACTATTAAACAATGACTGTTTGCTGTATCTTTACTGAACTTGGTCACTGTGCAGCTGCTTAAGAGTTTTAAAAGCCTGTTAATAGCACAGTAGGTAAGGTCCCTTTCATATTTCTTTCATATGTCTTATTTTTAAATGGAGGACAGCTGTTTATTTATGATATTTCAAAGGCTCAACACTCAGAGCAAAGCTGACTGAACTTCTTGTCCATCTCTCTAAAACAATACATACTCCAGAGTAGCTATCAGGTTCCAAAACATGCATTTGGTCAGTATTAAGGATGGGATACTGGAGACCCTTTGTTTGTCTAAACTGCTCAGCTTACAAATCAGTGAGTAGGTACTAGCTTTACTTCAGATGAAGAGTAGGAACCAAAGTTACTTAGTCAAAATTTCAAATACTGGGACAAAAATGATCCAATCTGGAACGAGGAGAGGAAATCCATCTGAACCCTGTCAGTGAGGAAAGAAATGGATATACAGTCTCTGTTTGTAACTTCGGTATTATCATTAGGGTAAACTTGGCCATAAACAACCATTTTGAATTTCTAAAATTACAGTAGATAAAACAGCACCATGAAGAACCAGCACTCTGTGTTGCAGCAAATAGCATCCTTCAGTTACTGTACTTGGAGAAGAAATCTTGTGTTCAGAGGTAACAGGTAACATCCCAAGCTGATGTCTGAGTAGCTGGAGCTGCTCTCTGCATTAGCAACCTGGAAGTGCTGCCCCAGGGCCTTTCAGAGCTGACACCCTTCCTGAGCTAGGACATAAAGGAGTGTCAGAGCTCCAGTCCCAACCCAGTGCTGCCTCCCACGGTGCCTGAACAAGCCCTGCCTGCTCCAGGACCTCGGGCACAACAGGGAGGCTCCCACAACAGCTGTGGTCGGGGGAAAGCCCAGCTCATCACCACAACTCACTGTCAGCAAGAACTGCACTCACCTTTAGGAAACCAGTCTAGGCATGGAGATGTGTTTTGTCGAGGAAATGGCTGCAGGTGTATGAGGCCACTACCTTTTCTTGTGTATGTGCTGGTTCCTTCTGTACCTCCAAACACAGGAAGCTCAACTGCAGAAGGGGGCCTGTGTCCCTGTTCTGTTTAAAAAAAAGTAATGTACCAGCACTTCTCTGAAGAGCAGAGTTTGGGGAATCGGACTGTAGCATTGGCAAGGAATTACACTGCCAAGTTTTGATCTCCCTTTCTCCTCATGTCCAGCTCTGGGAGTGTTGACCAAGGTGGTTGCCTGTCAGGGTCTCATCTTTCAGATATGGAGAGAAATGTGAACAGTACAAAACTCTGAATTTTACCCATTATTACTAAATGGGTAAAATAGTACCAGGTGCCCTCTAGGACTATGGGGCTATGCTTGGTCCTACAGTATCAGTAAACATTGGTTCCAACAAGTCAGAACATTATGTGCTGGTAGAAATTTTTAAGAAAAAGTGTTTGTAAGACTTTCTAACAGTGACAGAGTGAAGGAAATGTAACAGGGGTTTCATACTGATCACCCTTGCATTCACTTGAAGTAGTGAAAGTCACATTAACAAGATGCTGGTCAGAGTAGTAGTTCTTCCCTACTGACAGGACCAGGCCAACCCCATTTTAAGTTTTAACAATACATCTGGTTCTCTTCCACTGAACACAGCTTCCAGTAAATTCTTTAATTACTAGTTTGATAAGTCCAAAAGACAAAAAACCTTTGTTTAATCTCCTATTTGAGAAACTACAGTTTCTTTCTGTTCAGAACATGTAGAAACAACTCTTCTTTTGGCTTTTGCTTTTTGCTGCTCTTGTTACAGCATCATCCACTGCTGTTATCATTAACACTTGGAAGCTGATTTTTGTACAAATGCATTTTTATTGTTTTAACAGAACCAAAGAAAGGCTGAAAACATTAGACTATACAATACATTTTGGTTTATAAACAAAGTTTTATAGTGGTAAAACATTTCTAAGTGACATTCATGGTCTTGTTCAAATTTTTGCTGCACTTCAGGACTGAAGACCAATAGTGTTCAAAAATGCAGTAATTGCATAAGGTGGTCAAGTATCTCGGCTTCTATAAACAGTTCGAGAACTTAGAGCAAACATTCTGGAAGAATATCAAAGGCAACCATGATTCATAATTCTCCTGCAAACATTCCTCAATAAACAAAAAGTGATCTTTGGCATAAACAATTATGTATTAAAGGCATTAGTAATATTGCATTAATATCATTCAAGCAACTAAACAGTGATGCTAAAATAATAATAATTAAAAAAAAAATATCACATAGAAGCCTGGATGGCAGGAGCAGGATGAGGGGATGTGAGGAGCATTGAAAAGCAATACAGGAAGACTATTTAGAAAATCCCTTTAAAATAATCCCTACATATTCAGTGTTATGTACTATTAAATAGAAATTACTACATTAAAATTATGCTAAAGATCTGATATAAACCAACCAAATGCATCCAGGTTAAGGCTCTGGCACCCCTTCCTTCCTCTTCCTGTTGCAGGTAACTGCAAGAAGAGAGTACTAAGGAAAGATCCTAAGTACCAAATATTAAATGATACCCAGACACAAGGAACAAATTCAAGAAGAACACACGCCTTCTCTTGCTGAGGTCAGTTTGAGACAATTGTATTATCAACAGTTTAACTTCCCTTTTTAGATAACAGTGCAATGAAGGGGGTGGAGGGGAGAAAGTCTAAGCACAGAGTAACTGTTGCAGGCAGGTAGAGGACAGCTGAGTGTGCTGTGTCTCTTCCTTTGAGCTGTTAAGACTAAGAAGTTCTTCCCCCAAGGACACTTCTATTCAAGGTGGTTTGATTGTGCAATAGTTCTCAGCAAATTAAGAGGATATTATGAGGTCAGTGCTGATTTGGGCAAAAGTCTGCAAGTATTTCTTGCAAATGTAGAAACTCAAGTTGTCCTTTCCATAGGGCAATTAAATGAACAGGTATGAATAGATGTGTATATATATATATATATATGAAGCCATATTCAATTATGGAAGGATAAAACATTGTAAGTCTATTTTAATAAGGGGAGGGAGTTGGGGGGTTTTATTGTTGTCATTTTGTTTGGGATTTTTTTTTTAAGATACAGTAACACTTTGTTCAATTCACTTAAAAAAACAGGTTTTGAGACTCCAAACTCCAAGCAGTAAAAATAATGAGGTATGTGCAGCATTAGGAACCACCATTTGCTGGTAGGCACCAGCTTACCTAAAGAGGGTTTCATGTCCCTGCAGAGCTCGGGTTTCAAGCTTATGCATTGTTGCAAAGAAGAGTAGTGAGGCTAAAGGTATTTTTAAACTGAATATATTTATCTTTCAATTTTCACCTTGAGCAGCTGGAATAACATTAGATGGAGGGAAGAGGGGAAGTAGCAATAATTCTATGTGCTCATTTAGTTTTCAAAAAGAAAGAGCCAGCATGTGGCATTTTCTGGTCCTGGACATGTAGCTAAGTTAACAGAACCAGGATTTTTCAGCTCAGTACATTGCTGAATTGAGCAAGGAAGGAGTTCCATGATTTAAGGTCTCCAGCCATTGATTTAAGGCTCAACCTGTCAACAGTGTGCCACTAAATCTGCAAAACCATTCAGTACAGTACAAGAGTTCTGGAATGCCTACCTACAGGGTGACAGGAGGGGAACAGAGACAGCTCCAGTTTCTGTTAAAGTACTGTTGCCAGGCAAGAATAAAAAGCAAAAAGCATTTCAGACATGGAGTTTTAATCCTCAGTTTACAACTGTTCTGCTGCCCCACCTTCCCTTTTTCAATCAAATACCCCACACCTTCCATCATTTCTGCATGGTTTTAGAACAGCCAGATAAAATCTTGTTGAGAAGTTGAAAGTTTCTGTGTCAATGATTGTCCCTAAAAACTGCCAAGTAACCAAGTGTCCTAAACTCGCAAGACAAGCTTCAAGTGAGGTCCATGTTTTATATCATCACATGGAAACTACTGGAATATGCAGTGCATAAATGAAATGTGCTTCTGGAAGTACAGAATTCACCAACAGAATCTTGAAAAGCAAAAAAAAAAAAAAAAAATTTTAAATATAAGAACTGTCTACTGTTGCCAGCAAATTAGAGGTGTTGGATATCAAATGTGTTCCAAAGACATTTGAAATGCATTATCTTATAATTCATACCCTTAGAATGGGGCATTAGCATAAGCTAATCTTAAGCTCATGTATACAGCACCTTCTGCTGTTAATATATCTCTTCTGTTTCCAAAAAAAAGGCATTTTATGTTACAGAAAACAATACTAATGTGGCAAGTATTTACTGATACCACGGGGTCTTTCTGACCCAGCGAAGAGTGAATCCAGCATCTGTTCTTATCTTAATGGATGCTGCTTCAGCTTCTCTCACAGTTTCCTTCACAGACTGCATGAGATTCTGGGCATTATGAACCAACATCTCAGTTGCCTGTCAAGAAAAAGAATTTCCAGTGTATCAATAAATACCATGATTAGGACAGTAGCATCCAAACTCTTTGTGTACAAAAACTGCCAGTACAAATATATTAAGTCTGTTGCCTGAAACTGTGAAAATATAATTGAAGTAACTGTCTCTGGGAACCAGCATTATCCTGACTGAAAACAAAACTCCCCCATTCCTCACCTTGTATTTGTGCAAAATCTGAATACAACCTTAATGTCACTAAGTAGAATAACCTCTCTCAGAAGGCAAAGCTGCAAGATTTCTCCTGAAAAGATGCATTTAGAAGGTAACTGAGCTGCAGGGGACTCGAGATAATGTTGGAAAAAAACGTTTCCCCTGGAATCCACCCGAGGGCGCCCCTGCCCCTCCCAGGTCCAGTCTGCAGTGGTGAGTCCCTCCCTCGGGCTTTTTACTGGGCAAAGCAGGGGATGAACAAATTGTTCGTCACAAAATTGGAACCCCAGTAGCTTTTTAGCTTGATCCTCTGTTACACCGTAGTGTTTGAGACAGAAAGCAAGGTGCTGTACTACAGTTATCTTCTCTAAACAGCTGAGGTGAGCTTCAACATAAAGTTCCCAGAACACAT